TGTAGATTGTATTTTTTTTAACCAGGTTAATTTTTAAAATAAAACTGATTCAATTATAAATAACCTGCAAAAACTGATTCAATTATCCAATGTAAGAGAAACCAACAGAGACCAATTTGGGATCGTTATCATTATAGAAATGGCTCAATTACATCATTATATAATATATATAATACTAAAGAAACAATATACTTGGAAACCAAGAGAGGCTAATCTAGTATCCATAAAGAAGAGTTTTTCTCTTACAAGGAGAAGAGAAGATCAAAAAAATTAGGTCACACTACATTAGACATGCACTGGGCAGCCTAATACTGAAACCACATTCACCTATTTCTAAATTTTACATGTAATACTAGACCTTTCAACATGATCTATTTCTAAATTTTTCTAAAAACAAATTTCCCCAATGAATCCGAATGTCTTCCAATTTGGTTTCCCCCAATGGTGTAGCATCTTCAAAAAGCTGCAACATATATACATCATATATTAGTTACATCATAAAAAGCATTAAAAGAAATTAACAATATTTTTAAATGTACCTCACTCCAACCATTTGTTACTCCCCCTTCAATTATTTCTGACATCCAATTCATGACATAGTATCCACATTCATAATGTCCTTGTTGTTTATAACTCTAAAACGAACACCAAATAAAGTAGTATAAATAGTTTTGTTTAATTAAGGTAATAAAAGAATTTGTTAGGCACATTGACTTTAATTACGAACCACTTACTTACCATGGGGTAAATCCATTCTAAGTTCTTTGACAGTGCAGTAGATATAGCACTCATGACATTATACACAACCATAACACTAAAGAAAATAAAATGAACGTAAGTTACATAATTAAAATTTTATAATAAAGAGCATAAAAGTAAAAAACGTATTACAAATTAAAGTTTACCTTTTAACTAAATGTTTGACATGTATAATGGGCTTATGATGCAAAGAACAAAACCATACAGCAACATTACTCATAGGACAAAGAACCAACAGCTGCCAATGATTTCTACATTGAGCCAAAATTAGTTAAACAATATATATATAAATTACATAAATTAAATGCAATAAGAAACATGTACTTACTGATCAATGTAAGGAGCCAAGTAAATTTGCTTCTGGGAGTTCTTTATCCTATCATTTATATAATTTATAGCCTCCTCTTTCTTATTCCCCCGATTTTTCTATGGATTGGGGCTCCAAAAATCCATACAAGTCATCATAGCCATGCTCTTCAATTTTTTGATTTAGATAACTAAAATTTATAAAATAAAAGTAATTTAGAATGAATCATAATTAATTAAATAAATATTGATACTAATAAGAATTGTGTACTTACAACATCCAAAATTGTATGATTGAGATGTTAAGCATTTTTCGTTCTATTAATTCACGTATATCATCAAATGTAATATAGAACACAAATTCATTAGCACCAACACCAAATAGACTTCCAGGACATATCACCTGAAATGGTCAAGTTGGATAAGTAACCAACCTAAAACAAAAAAATATTAAATAGTCTTTATATAAGTCAGACAAAGTCACCTTAAATGGGTTGCCATAAGTTAAAGTCAATGATGCCTCACGCAAATCACATATAGGATCATTACTGGGCTTGGACCTATGAACTGTTAGAATATCTTGTGTCTTCTTAGATGATGAAATATGTCTCACAAGACGTCTTGGCCATGAAATGAAAGTCTGTAGGGCCTGTCCAACCAGTTGAACCTCTGAAGTAGGCATAGGAACATGAGCATCAAAATCTCGAACAAACTCAACAACCACCTTGACCAAATCAGCTGTTAGAGGTACATGATGTATGGTTGAACTACCCTCATAAACTCTACCAATGGCCACTACACGAGGTGGTATATCATCAATGCATAACTCACGTACATGAGGCTTATCCCCTAATTCATTACCAGCCACAACAGTAGCACTTGAAGGAGTTGGACAACTACCTTTACTACTACCAAGGACCAGATCTACTTGAACTAGAAGAACATCCTGTGTTTGTGTATTACTGATATCATTTTTCTTGAGCTGTGCAACAACTTGTTGTGTGAGGAGTTCCAAATCCTTGGGAGTTAATTTAGCTATGGATAATCCATGTGACTGGCGTCGTCCATAGTACTGACTAATAGGAGTACCAACACCAGCTGTACGAACACGACCAGGATGCTCTAGTCGTCCAAGGGCAGTATTTAATATATCTTGACGCCCGTCGATAACAAAGGAACCCTGTGATGCTTGCTCATCCAACTCATTCTACAATAAACAAATTTAGTTTACAGTATATCGTAGAATAAAAAATTTGAGCAAATAGGTAAATAGTTTTATTTTATAAGAAAAGACTTACAATTTTTTTAGCAATTTGGTTAGCTGACTCAGAACTCAGTTAGCCTGAAATTTTTGTGGGAGCCATCACCCATAACTTATGACATGGAGGAGGAGTTGGAGGATCAATAACTACATCCTGACTAGCACCAGACTGTATTGCTTATTCCTTTAGTCTCTTTAGTTCATTTTTAGAATAATTTGTCACTAAGAGACCATAACCCCCACGAGATAATAGGTAAGGGGCATCATTATGTTGCTGGATAGCCTGTGCTTTTTCTCTTATAGCATGCAATAATTGAATAACACCAAAAAATAATGAGAAAATACCCGTGTTGTATTATAAATTTTAAAAATAATAAACATAGTTTACCTGCCATTTAGGGTCATTCCTGATTTGTTTGAATTTTTCCCAATCTTCAAGGTCAATGTTATACTTACCACAAGGACTATTACCTTTCTGTTTCCTATTTATCCAAACCCTGGTAAGAAAAGACTTATATTGCCTAAATCTTGTAGAAACATGTTGAAGGATTTTTTTCCCGCAATATAGCATTATCCTAAAACTGATAGACTTCCTACAAAACAAATTTAAATTGAACAATTAATAATGATAAATTTAAACTAATCATACAAAGTTGTCAAATAATGATATACTGTCAAATGATGTAAAGGTAATGGAAATACCAAAATATCCTGCCAAATCAAATTCTTAGTAGCTTGTGGGACTTCTTTCCAATGGGGAACTAAAATGTTAATCTTGTCTCGAGCAAGGGTTCCCAAATAACTTGCAAATTGAACACTGTTTGGCCCTGAAGCTGTCCCAGTATTAGGATCCACATCAATTTCTATTTTTTGTCCCTTCATGCGTTTAAGGGCTACACTTTTCAACCGTGTTGGCGGTTTTTTTTTCCTAGGTATAGCCTCTAAAGTAGGGAGTGTAGGATCAGAGGAGTCTTCAGGAGTATCCATGTGTCTGTTTTGACAAAAAAAAGAAGCAAGGTCAATTAAAAAAAAGTAATAAAAATTAAATTAAAACATGAAAAAATTATGAATAGAATATTAAAATCTACAAGATAAACATAACTTATGTGTGACAATTAGATAGTAATGTTTTCCCATATGCCTTCATCATGATCATTACGAATGGCATGAACGTCATCTTGCTCAATTTCTTCATTGTTAGTAGCCATACGTGTTGAGAATGAAAGGCTCTCCCAAAACTCAATTGTTGAATCATCAACATTTTGCACACTTCTACCTTGGAGAACAATGGACCACCTTTCATCAATGGGATCTTTGACATAAAATACCTGTGTAGCTTGGTTTTCCATGATAAAAGGTTCTTCTTTATGACCCACCTTGCTAAAGTTTACCATCGTAAATCCCATTTCATCTGTTCGCACACCTGTGTTAATATCAACCCACTTGCACTTAAAAATAGGAACTTTAAATTTAGTATAATTGATCTCCCAAATTTCTTCAATGACTCCATAATAACTTGTGGATGCCACAACAGGATTTTTATCATTCCTACTAGAAAAATGCATAGATTGAGCTTGAAGAGTGACCCCACTATTTTGCATGGTACTGTTGTCATCTTGTGACTTTGTGTAAAAGGAAAACTTATTGATATCATATCCAGTATAAGTATAAACATTATACTTAGGCTCATTTGCAAGACATTTTAAAGTTTCAGAAGCACTATCATCACTGAAGACTTTTTCTTTAAACCATTTTAAGAATGTCTTGTTATGCTCGTTGACCAATGATTTTTCATTCATTCTGGGGTTATTTTTCTTCAAAACAGTTTGGTGTTCAGATATGTAAGGGAGGACCTCATCAGTGTTGTTCAATATATACTGTTGTCAATTGCAGAAGAAGCAATTGAATTTTGTTCAGTGTTGTCCTCATGCCGAGACTTTGGAAGCCCTACAAGTTTTGCTTTAGACATGTACTCTGAACAAAATTCAATTGCTTCTTCTGCAATATACCTTTCAACAATTGATGCTTCTGGACGGTATGGATTCTTACTATAACCCTTTTAAAATCTTCATGTAACGCTCAACTGGGTACATCCATCGTAAATAAACAAGGCCACACAGTTTGATCTCTCTAACTAGATGAACTATCAAATGAATCATGATGTCAAAAAAGGCTGGAGGAAAATACATCTCCAATTCGCATAAGATAATAATAGCCTCATTTTCCAACTCATCCAATTTATCAGGATCAATGACTTTAGCACATATAGCATTGAAAAAGAAGCAAAAACGAGTTAACACACTTCTAACATTATTTGGAAAAATGTCACGTATAGCCACAGGTAGGAGTTGTTGCATCAAGACGTGACAATCATGAGATTTTAAGCCAACCAATTTGAGATCACTCAATGATACAAGGCTCTTAACATTTGAAGAGTATCCTTGTGGAACTTTCACACCTCCTAGACACCGACAAAAACTCATTTTCTCTTTTTTGACAAAGTATGACATGTTGGAGGCAAATATGTTCTCTTACCTTCTGACCTTGGATGTAATTGTGAACGTATACCCATCTCTAATAAATCTTGACGAGCATTGAATCCATCCTTTGTCTTGCCTTTAATGTTTAAAAGTGTGCCTATTACACTATCACATACATTTTTCTCGACATGCATAACATCTATAAAATGTCTAACATCTAGGTGGCACCAATAAGAAAGATTAAAAAATACTGATCTCTTTTTCCACAAGTTTTTCTCAGTTGACTTCTTTTGAGTTTTTCCAAAGATAACATTTATGTCCTTTACCAAATCATAAACCTATTCACCAGTTAAGGGTGTTGGTGCAATTTCATGCTCTTGACATCCATTGAAATCTTTTTTCAATCTCCGATATGGGTGATAAGGTTTGAGAAATTTCCGATGCCTAGTGTAAACAATTTTCTTTCCATTCTTCAGTTGGAGGTAGCTTGTTTGTTGTTCACATATAGGACATGCGTGATGTCTTTTAACACTTTCCAAAGATAACATTTATGTCCTTTACCAAATCATAAACCTATTCACCAGTTAAGGGTGTTGGTGCAATTTCATGCTCTTGACATCCATTGAAATCTTTTTTCAATCTCCGATATGGGTGATAAGGTTTGAGAAATTTCCGATGCCTAGTGTAAACAATTTTCTTTCCATTCTTCAGTTGGAGGTAGCTTGTTTGTTGTTCACATATAGGACATGCGTGATGTCTTTTAACACTGTACCCGCTCAAGTTCCCATATGCTGGAAAATCATTAATTGTACAAAAAAAATTATTATAAGGGACCAAATTAGGTTTTTAGCCAAAAATAATCTATTGGTATTAAAAAATATAAGGATTTTAAAAGATTGTTGTATTAGACATATTTTGAAGGACTTTTTAAAAATAATCCATTGGTTTTCCAAGTGAGTTTTTCATTTCTTTTTTTTTTTCTTTGCT